ACTACAGAACTGGTGAAATTGGCTGTTAATGTTGAAGACCTGGTATATCAGACTGTGGTGCAGAAGATCTCTCTCTCTCTCTGTAATCAGGATCTGATTTAAAAGTCAGAGAGCTGATTTGGAGAGTTCAGTCTTCTATACTCTATGGAATTCACTGAATATTGTTAGGAAGGAGGAGGGCAGAGGTGGACATGGGGAAAGAGAGGTGGAGAAAAATTTCATATTTTTTTAGTCATTTTAACTATACATTTTTCTGTGGCTTTGTAGTAAGAACAGCCAGCACTGCACAGCTGTCATGGCACAGATTAAATGCTTGCTGACTTTCTCCAGTGTCTCATCATTTGATTGCTTTTACCTCATTAACAATTAAACTGAAGACAGCAGTGCAATTCCTCCACATAGTGTAGTCAGTTAAGGTAACTGTGACAAAGTAACTTTGAAATTAGCTGGAAGTGATAAAGAGTGCACCTTCAAAAATGGTGAATATGAAAAATATTGAAGTGCCATTGGCTGTGTCTACTGGTGGCTAAAGCCAGGCTATTCAGATGTGTTACGTTGGTGGACCTGGTGAAAATACTTTTTTTTTTTTTTTTTGCCCCCAATGTAAACTTCTGTAGTTTACCTTTCACAGTGTTGTAGCATATAGATTCTCCTAAGCTACTGTCACCCCACATGGGAATTTTCTCTTCCAGGGTGAAGTGGTAGTTAAGTTCCTTTGCTCATTCAGTTTCAGGAAGTGCTGTAAATTGTACAAATTGTACAAATGTGAAATAGATTTGTGATGAGACTTACTGAAGAAAGAGTATAAAAGATTCCCAAATTCTTATCACATGGGACATTAAGGTTTTCTTCCAGATCTGGAGTTCAAATTAATGTATTATGCTCTACTTGCACAATGAATTTTTTATGTTATAGAAAATCTAATTAGTTAAAGAGCAATTCAAATTAAACTTTTATTTTTGGGATTTAGAAATATTAAGGCAGAGGGAGCGTGGGGACAAATACTGTAGCTTCCTTGATGTTATGACTATGATGATTAATAACAATGCTTGGCTAAGAAGATGATTAACCTTGTTATTTTATTCACAATTCACACTTGTATCAAACAAAACCCAAATCAGAATATGTTGTTGCTGTGTCAAAACCAACATCTATATAATATCAAGCCAGTTTAAAATGTCTTCAAGGAGAAAAACATCTGAGAGGTCTCTTGACAGGAGAGGAAACTTTTTCCTGTCTCTTGACAGGAGAGGAAACTTTTTCTTTATGTACTAATATATCAACTCAAATAATAATAGGGAAAGATTAATAAACAAGGGCCAAAGTCTGCACTTCATTATGCACGTTGAATCTCCTGCTTAAGTTAATGGGAATTGCATTCAGGACCAGAACTTGGCTCTACAGAAAGGGCTCAATCCTGCAACCACTAAAGTTAATGACAAAAACTCCTACTGACTTCAGTGATGCATGATATCAGGACTGTAATATTTACAGTGATGAAAATAATGGGAGAACTGGAACTCAAGTGTTTGTTAGCAAAAACCTTGGGTAACGTGCAAATTCATATAAGCATATCTGAGACCACTGAAAGAAGTGTTCATCCTGACACTTGCCAAACCTGAAAAATACCCAGCTGATATTTTAAGATTATGAAAGCAATGCATGAAAGTCATGCTGTACAATCTTTTGACTTTTGTGTCTTGAATTGGTTATCCTTCCAAGAGAGATTTCTGTTTATTTGAAATTGGCAATTAGAAAAACAAAAAACAAAACATAAAATACCATTTGATTGTCTTGATTGCATCTTGTATTTCAATATATGGTCTGTCGCTAAACTCTGACTCATCTGCCACCAGCAAGCTTCAGAGGTGATAATCACCCACACAAAGCTATTTGCATATCATGTCAATCCTATCCATGTCTAATTATATTCTTTATAACAAACTGTTTAGCATAATTAGTGAAATTATGCTCCACAGGAATAAGGATAGAAGTTATCCGATAGAAGATTAAAGTTTTTTAAGGTCAGGCATATAGGTACAAGCTAATCACTTTGCTATTTGTTCACAATAAAATACATTTTGATATATTTGCCTACATACAATTATTATTTAAAGTAAGTCTGAGTAACTTTTTGTATAATTTTATAAATTGGATGAAGGCATCACTGATCATAAAAGCTTACATAATTATGAAATGGTTTTGGGATTCATAAATTGCTAACAATCTCACCAATATTTTTCCAGTCATGCCTGAAAAATGCTGTAAAGACCAGCACTGGAATCAAGTATGCTGGAAATGATCAAAGAACCTATTACTCAATTGATAAGACAACAGCAGGTACAAATGACCTTAATGGGAAAGCTCTGGTTTAATTTTTTTTGTTGTAGATGATCAGAAAGGATGTTTACTTAATGACCACTCTTTCTTTGTGTTTAAACTTTAATGATGTGCTGCTTTAATATGAGATGCTTTGAGATCAAAGAGAACGCAGTATTATACATATATGTACGCATAGATAAATATATACATTGTTGATTTTTCTTTGGGCATGCTTTGATCATAAAAGTCTTATGGGTGTTACATGAACATCTGTTGCAGTGACATTTTCTTTGTATGTTGGCAGTTTTGTGTTCATTTTTTCCGTATTAAACTGTGAAAAGCTTGAAGCATACAAAAGCCAATACACCAGTTTATTGTTTCATAGAGGCAAAAAAACGGTGTCATCTGAGAATAATTTCCTGTCCCCAGCCGAGGACAGAAATCTACTATTATGAACACATATATTGTATTAGCATAGACAAGAAAAAAAAAAAAGAAGAAATCATGCAGAATCCATTAAAGCAGCCTCAAGTAATTAATCATGTTTGTTTTTTAAGTACTGATTGTAATTCTGTTAAAACATAGTTACATAGTGGAGTAGGACCAAGAAGTCAAGGGGCTCTCCATTGTTTAATGACAATTCTGTTATTTCTATCCTATAGGAAAGGCTGTTAGAAAATTGTGCCATGAACAGCCACTTTTTTCCCCAAGCTACTCAATACTCCTGTGGGGGAGGAGGAATCTAGTGGGTAGGAGCCAAACACTGTAGTCATCTCTTTGTGTACTCATAAATTGGTGCTCATGCTTCATGCATTCCACATGGGCAGGGAAATTTGTTGAACCCTGCCTCACCTATTCAAAGGACATCCATACCGGATATATTTAAGATAAGGCATAGACGTGCAGTAACTACTATATTTCCTAAGGGATGTTAAACAGAATCTTGTTCATTTTAATAAGTAAATGACACTAATCACCTCACTGTAAAAGTTCATAGAATTCAAAGAGGTCAACAATGCATCCTTTCAGGTCACCATTGATTAAAAAATATTTGAGTTTCCCTATTAAGTATTCAAAGGCCAACATCTGCTGATGCTCAGAGATGGTGAATGTGATGAAGAAGGCTGTATGGAGTGTAAAGTGAAAATCACAACAATGTAGTCCATGCAACACAGTATTGACAAACAGTAGCACAACTGAGCTCCAAAAAGCTATTTTGCCATTTATCCATTTCTGTTACTTATGATCGTAGGATTCCAGGGAATAATAGTTTCATAATCTCTTTTTACTGCCTTTTATTTAGTTCCCTTTTTGGATACAAAATACATGTGCAAATGCAATTGTCAAGATTGTGAAAGTAGCACATCATTGTGCATTTGCAGTGAGGCAAATGTTGAGGGAGACACTAAAGCAGAAAACTTAGACTCTCAAAACTGAAGACTTTCATTGGCAAGTTGTCGTCTTTCATGCTGCTTTGCTATTTAAGGTTTCAAACTGGATGCCATAGGATTAAGCTGGCATCTAAATGGACATGAAACACTACTCCCATTTACAAAGAGGCTAGTTTTGATGGCATTTAACATGCTGTCTAGTACTTAACAAGTCAGTGCCTAAGCCTGTTCATGCGCTTAAGTAAACTGAACTGATTTATTGAAAGACCTGACCACGCATTTATAAGAAGCAAGGCAGCTGCTTTATCCAAATGATCAGAATATTGCTTTTCAGCCAGATATCAGGTATTGCAAAAAAAAAAAAAATCTTTTGACACTGCTTAAACTGTGATAGACCTGCATAGTACAAAATCTGTGCCTAACGCCTATGCAAAGCAGAGGCTGTGCAGGACCATTCTTTCACACAGCTACTTGAATGATACCTTTTCTGCTTCAGTGCTTTATTTCTAATTAGCTGTCATTCCATGACCGTACCCGCTTACACGTAGGATGGTTTGACTCGAATACCATCTTCTTATTTTTTTGCATTGTTTTTATTTATAATAGTTGATTTTTAAAAAAGGCAATTTCATATGTTATTAGTTGTTTTAAATATTTTAATTTTATACAATAAAATGAATCTCAACAAAGAACCTGTTTATTCTGTTCAAGGCCTGACCTAGAGTCCACTGATGTCAATTGAAAAGATATTCTCTAGTTTAGCTCTATGGCCTGATCACCACTGTCCCTGTCCGGCTTTGGAATCTATGAATCAATGGAAAGACTCTGATGGATGCTCTACATTCACTAGATTAAAAACAAAAAGAAATGCATGTTAGTGCATTCTTCCATTTCCCCTTATATTTATCTATTCATATATGCAGCTTTAAGGGCTCTACTCTTCTTAGGTATTAATAAAGTTTGGTGTTTTGGAAAATGTACTTGGTAATATTTTTCTACCCAATGCCATCCTGATGTTCCAATTTGTAATGCTAACTCTTTTATTTGCTGATCAAGAAGCTGTGTTTTCAGACAGATGTACTTTCATGAGCTACATAACATATTCTCTTTGATCACATAATGCAGTTACATGTAAATGCAGCATGGCAAAGTCAATAATATAGTCCCCTTACCGTAAAGCACATTTCAGTGAAACATTATCTACAACAGAAATGGATGTTGGGAAAATAGAGCTAAGAAGCTGAATAACATAGCAAAGCTATTCTAGATTTGCTTTTTATTACTTACTACCAATACTGGAAATACTGGGAATACCTGTAGAAAAAGAGAGTAAAAAGGGCATAGTTAGCAGTTTACTGTAAGTGTCTAAAAGGCTGTGGCATTGCATCAAATATTTGGAACTTATTTTCTCATACTCTCATAAACTTCAGAATACTGTATCAATTAACAGCTAGAACCAAGCACTTGCACATACATCATCCAAGCCTTCTATTTTCAATTGTAGAGGCTTTGGATTCTTTAATATGAGATTGCAGGGAATTTTTGGAAGGTATTTGTTGTGTTCAAAAATGACATTTGGAGTATTTCTGAGACATGCAGCATTTTTCTGCTCTCATAACTTCATGCAGTTGTTCAGAACAGTTCTGTATTCATACTAAACAGTTACTAGGTTTCTGGTCTGGACAATAAATACAGGTCATGATGTATCAGGTATATCTAGGAAACTGTTTTAATACAGAGGCTCCCCGGGTTACGCAAGACCCCAACTTACGCAAATTCGCACTTATGGAAAAAGTTCCATAAGCCAGAAATAGGATTTTCGAGTTGCGGAAATTTTTGCATAATGTACAGGTATATGTTTCTGACTTACACAAAATTTGAGTTACGCAAGACTTTCCGGAACGGAATGATTGCATAAGTCGGGCAGTGTCTCTACAGGGATAGATCCATTATTAGCTGCTTCAGTCGGCTGCTGAAAATCATTTAGTTTTTTATTAGATTAACTTTATCTAGCTATCATTTTTTGTTCCTCTTTTACTTGTCAGTTGTCTGGATTAAGCTATGTAATAGAAATTTAATTGAGCAAAATAATACAACACATTAGGTCACTCATATTGATCATGCCCCTCATTGATTTTTCTTCTCTCACTTCAATTCTCAAGTTGAATTAATGTGGGAGAACCACTTTAGAGTGTGACTGGACTTGGTAGAAAATGTGGACGTGCAATATTCCTTGCAATATAGTTCTCCTTAGCTAAAGTGAAACATGCCTATGAGACTATTTACAGGCCCACAAGTTAAAGCCACAAACTGCAGATCAGTATTTAAATCCGTGCTACTTGCATCATGTCAGTTAAATAGTTTGCCTTTTATACGTTTTATTGAGTTTTGATGGCATATTATAGTGTAGAAATCTATTTCTCCATTAGCATCTACTATCCTTTTAAATTTCTTCCTGAAATTCTTAATGCAGAGAAACTGTGGGATGGATTCTGCGACGTTTACTCAAGGGAATGACTTGCAGGAGTATGCATTACTCAGTGTAGACTAGGGCTGCAGAATCAGGCTTATTTTATTATAATTATTTTCATTATCATATATTAGGTAGTAACCTACTGTGCATTATGGCTATATCCTAGGCTCTATCAGATTGTTTACACCAGTAGAGCCTTGGGCTTCTCAAGTCTGCTGAGGATTCTGCCAAGGTGGAACCATCACTGGGGGTGTAGAATACACAACCGAATACAGGCAGTCCTTGGATTTACGACACAATTGGTTCCTGAAAATTGCGTAGTAAGTCGAAACGTTGTAAATCAGAACGGCAATACACTCTGTTGCAGGACCGAGCATCGTAAAGTCGAAACCAGTGGTCGTAAGTCGAATCAGGGTGTCAATTCAGAAACGTGGTAAGTGCTGTTTGTCTTAAGATGAACGTCATAAAGTCGAGGCCTGCCTGTACAGTCCCCACCGCAATCTGGTTTAGGAGCATGGCTGGGAGGAAAAGCAGTACCTATTGAGGCAGCTCTAAATTATTTCTTGGTTGGGGCCATGTAGCACTACTAGCTCCAGGGCCGGGGAATTATAAATGGCTCCTTTGTGACTCCCCACCTCAATTACAGATAGGTACTTTTTGGGTACTCGTGAGAATTGTGTCCCAGAAGTTTTATATTCTGTTTGGAAACCCTATGTGCTCAGTCCTGCAAGGCGCAGAGTATCACCTTACAGAAGACTCTCAGCAATTTTCAGGACTGAGCTCCATATGCAAACACTATTTATAAAACAATGTATTTGACTCCTGCTGAGAATAAACTGATATTTAAATGGAAACTCCATCAATGTTTCAAAATTTCAGAATCATGTAATTAGTATCACAGACTACAACACTGATATTTTTAAATAGAGAACATTAAAATTGTATTTATAGAAATAAAAAACCTCTCATTCCACTGCTGCCATATTTTCTTGGAAACAGGGTAACAATGATAGAATCTCTTTCCCATTGTTTTAAATAGAAAAGGAACTCGACTTGGAATATTATTTTTAGATGAGCTTTAGTAACATATATTACCATTTATATGTGGCAGTTTAGTCATGTTTTGAATATGTTTTATTTTCTTTATACACAGATGGGACTTGTACAGATAAAAAGGCAGGTAATATTCTCACAGCTCCCCTGTGAAATGGTATTAAATATTCCCTTTTATGTGTACACACACACACACACACACACAAACAAAAATATACACACATACCCCCCACACCTTCTCTTCCTCTCCAAGGCAAGTTGCAAGGTAGGGAGAGGTTTTCTTATTAATTTGTACTCCTCTTCCTTTACTGTATCTCAAAAGTCTCAGTGAAAAATAATGATGAACATTTCCTTAGCAATAAGGAGTAATGAAAACAAGGTAACTGCTTGCCTGAAGAACTTTGCATTAATATTGTTAGCTTGTTTTCACATTCCCTATTTGAGAAGCTTCTTTTGCTATTTCCATACAGATTTCTCAAAAAGGAAAGAGAAGCTCTGAGTGGCAGTGAACTTCTCTCTGTCTCCTAAAATATTTTTGGCCCTGGAAAAAGACAGAAAAATAAATTTCGCACATAACAGGGAAATGCTTTATAACAATGGTTCTCAAAGTGTGGGTTGCAACCCCAAAGTGGGTTGCTACCCTGTTTTAATGGGGTCATCAGGGCCAGAGTTAGACTGGCAGGGAGCCTGGGCAGAAAGCCCCACCCTGAGTCCTGCAATCATGGGGCTCAGACTGAAGCCACGGGGGGCCATTTAGGGAGGCTGGTGGGGCACCTGCCCGCCCTGAGTTTCATACCACAAATTTCAGCTCTGCACATGGCAGGGCTTGGGGTTGTCAGCCCTGTGCTGATAGTGGAAGCCTTGCGGTGCATAGGGCTGACAGCCAGAGCCCAAGCTCATCCACAGCAGGACTTCCAGCCTGAGCAACTTAGCTTTGCGCACCCTGTGGCATGGGGCCACAGGCAGTTGCCCTGGTTCCCACCTCTTAACCCCAGCTCTGTACATCACTTCCTCTACTCAGTACCTAGAAAGGAATCAGTGCGTCTTGTAGATAAAGCCAGTTTGAAAAGTTGCTGTAGAAATAATTTTAGCAAGGGACTGTTTTCTGAAAAAAGGTGGAGGAAAGGGGGGTAATGAATGGGAGTCGGTTGCCACTTGCAGCAAAAGAAGAGCTCACAACAAGGATCTAAGCAGCAGTAAAAAACTAAGAAACTGAAAATACAATCTGAAATATTTGGAATAGGGATTTACTGGGCTGGTTTTGAGGGGGATCCATGGCCACAGTGTGTGGCAAAATTCCAGCAAAGGAGAGCTTAAAACCGTCTAAAATGTGGCACCCACTTGGAGACATGGTGCAGTTCTATTCAAACAAAACCACTTGATTTTTTTTTCCAGCAAAAGCTGAGAGAGCTACAGGGCCAGAAGAGAGTTCTCAGATTGGCAGCTACAACAAATGAGAGCACCCTTGAGGCATCTTCTGCTGTGTCATACTGGATATGTAAAACTGGGAACCACACTCTATTGGAGAAACTTCTTTTCTGCCATGTGCCAAGGAATGATTTGATTATATTGGGGCAAGGTGCAGTGACTCAACTTGATTCAATTCCCCTGTCTAATGACATTATTGCCAGGTGTATTCACAGTATGGTAAATGATGTGACTGAACAAGTGATCGCCAAAATCAAGCAAAGTTCTTTTTTCCCCCATTCAACTTGGCGAAAACAACAGATGTGCCGGGGACTGTTCAGATGTTGACATATGTAAAATTTGAGAACGATGAAAAACTCCAAAAGGAATTTCTGTTCTGCCAGCCATTACTACAGCATGCTACATGGGAATAGCTTTTTGCACTTTTCAGTGCTTTTGTCTCTGATTCTGACTTGGAATGGCAGTGCTGTGTAGGAATTTGCAGTGACAGCATTTGTGCAATAACTGGAAAAAACAGTGGGCCAGTCACCTGAGTGCAGGCTGTTGCACCGCAAGCAGTTTGGATGCACTGTTTTATACACAGGCAAGCCCTAGTTGCAACAACAACAAAAAGCCACCCATTCTAAAACAAGTTCACACAGTCAAGAGCAGCTCAACAAGTGTACATCTGTTTGTGTGGTGAGATGGGAGCTGAGCACCATCAGTTACTTCATCACACAAAAGTTTGGTGGCTGTCTCAGGGAAAGGTTCTCAATTATTTGTTTGAGCTCAGATGAAGATTCCCTGCTGGCCGAAAAGTTTGCAGGTACCAAGTGGCTTGCTTTGCTAGCTTACCTGGAAGACATTTTTGAATGCCTAAATGAGTTAAATACCTCACTTCTCTCACTGACAAAATTGAAAGCTGAATCAAGAAACTTTCCTTATGGTATGTGCATGTGGAAACTGGCAGTTTTGAAGGGGTTTTATACTGGATGACTTTTTGGATGAAAATGCCTTGCCAAAGCATGACTTGCAACCCATTATGCAGCCACCTGGAAAGCCTTAAACTGCAGTTTAGGGAGTACTTCCCTGAAAATGATCAGAAAACAGAGGTGTGGATTAGAAATCGCTTTAATGCAGAAGTGCTGTTATGTTACTTATAGTCAAAGAAACATTAATGGACCTTTCCTGTCATGAGACATTGATGATGAGATTTTCTGAACAACCTCTTGCTAACTTCTGGATTTCTGTGTGAGAAGAATACCCAGAGCTGTCATCTACAGCACTGAAAGTGCTCAGGCCATTTTTGTCCACCTTCCTGTGTGTAGCTGTTTTTTCAGCACTGACCTTACTGAAAAACAAATACAGGGCCCATCTCACT